TTATGCCTCAACGATAAGGTCTATTATGTATGACATGCTATGTACTAGGTCTGATATAGCGCATGCTCTGAGTGTCATGAGCAGGTATCAAGCGGATCCAGGCTTGGAGCCCTGGAAAGTAGTAAAGTGTATCCTTAAGTACTTGAGAAGGACTAAGGATCTTTTACTAGTATATGGAGGTAGTAGCCTCAAGGTTGAAGGCTACATCGACTCGAGTTTTTAGTCTGATGTCGATGATAGCAAGTCAAATTCGGGGTATGTATACACCTTGAATGGAGGAGCAGTGTGTTGGAAGAGTTCCAAGCAAGATACTACTGCTGACTCGACCATAGAGGCGGAGTACATTGCTGCATTAGATGCAGCAAAGGAGGGAGTTTGGGTGAAGAAGTTCATCACAGATCTAAGAGTCATGCCAGGTAGCGAGGAGCCGATTTCCTTATATTGCGACAACTACAGGGCGATTACTCAAATAAGGGAACCCGGGTCTCATCAGAAGTGTTCTAACGAGGTTCCAACTTATTGGAGAGATCATGACCTAAGGAGATGTAGTAGTGGAAAGAGTTCAATCCGAAGATAACATTGCAGATCCACTGACAAAGCCGTTGTCTCAGATTGTCTTTGAGCGTCACAGGGGTTTGATGGGGATCAAACACATAGGTGATTGGCTTTAGGTCAAGTGGGAGATTGCTAGTCATAGGTGCCCAACAAGCCAATCACGTGAGTGATGACACGTGTGACTTGACACAGAATCTTTTTTGTTTATTATATTTTGGCATTCATCACTTTATATTAACTATTGCATATATGCATGTATATATTGTGATATCCTTGGATCTGTGCAATGGGAATCGGATCGTGATGAGATCACGATAATGAGATCAATTCACCTTTAAACACATATCATAAATAATCCCGGTCATAGGTTACTCATGAGAGGCATCGTGATAACCGGACAGACTGGTGTGCTGTATACCCGTCCATATGATGGATGCAGCTGGTCTCAGAGCTACTCGTGTGGGGACACTAGGGATATAGTACATGTGGTCATTGGAGAATAAGTTCACTTGTTGATCCGCTTACGGAATGCTGGATGGTTGATGATGCCTTATTGTTAGACAGCAATTTCGTAGTCCTAGTGGTGTATCTGGTCCTTAGACTTGAGACACCAAGGATGTCCTGTATGAGTGCTCCACTCTTTGATACCAGACTTATAGGTTTGGCTGTCCCAGATCTAGTACAACTGGTCATTGGGAGTGACAGTCAACCTTACGAGGGCTATTGAGTATCAATAGATGATCATCCACTCTCAGCGTCATGAGAGAAATATCCCATGTGTTCTTGCTCAGACAAATCTTTGGCTAGGATCATTCGGGTTGAGAGAGAAAGAGTTCTCCGGGAGAATCCAATTAGAGCGAGACTCGAGTAGAAATTGTATGGGTCTGACAGCACCATGCTCGATATATGATCTCTGGGATATTAGATGGATGGTGGACTATAAGTACACGGTAACTAAGGACAGACATGTCCAATGGATTGGATTACCCTTTATCGTTTGGGGACTATGACGTAGTGGCCTAGTACGTCCGTAGTCGATGAGTCGAGTGAATTATTACAGAGATAATAATTCACTAAGTTAGAAAGAGTTCTGACAGGTATGACTCACGACCAGCTCGATATTGGGCCTAGAGGGTCACACATATATGGTAGGCATTGCGATGAGTAGAGATTCGGATATGAGATATCCGCTAGAGCCCTTATCTTATTGGATATCCAATAAGCCCCTGAATTATTGGATCCCATGGACGAGATCCAATAAGAGCTAATGAGAGATTATTGGATAGAGATCCACTAATCTAAAAAGGCTTGAGTAATTGGATGCAGATCCAATACCCACTAGGGGAGGATCCATTAGGGTTTGATAGGGGACCTCTATAAATAGGAGGGATTCAGAGCCTCATAGGCGAGCCTTTGCTTGCCTCTCCTATTCTCCTCCCCCTCTCTACCTCAGAGCAGGCCTGGAGTTTTAAGGAGCGTCGTCGCAACCCTACTGTATAGATCATCACTAGAGAGGAGGATGCTTGACCTCCTTCATCCTCTCCTAAAGATCTGTAAGGAAATAGGGATATACGATCTCCTTAAATAACACAATCTACTCTATATATAGTTTTAAGTTTCACGGATTTTGCGCACCAATCTTTACACGATAACGAACATCTCTTTGGGAATAGGGGATTTTATTTTCTAGTTCTTCCACTACGCATGTGGTGTCGCCCCTAAGATTTTCCAACACATCTATCATAGACTTAGCTGGTTTTGTCTAAGTTGTGTGGCACTCTTGCGTGTCCGTCCACAAAGGTCAGCCTCATCGAAACCTCCCATGGTCCCTTAGGACATACAAAAGAGAAAACGGGTTAGAGAAAGCGCCTTACACGGGATCCACAAGCAAATATTTCTAAAAACACCTCATAGACAATGTAAATTATAAACAAACTTTACAAGCTCTGAACGATTGCGCAACAAAGGGTCAAAATGGTCCACTATAGACCGAATATATCTCATAAGTGTTCACATGACAACATTTATTTACAAGCTTAAGAAGGTCACTAAATCCAACTAAAATGGGGTTGTTAAGCCTTCGACCATTCCTCTACATGCTGTGCAAAATATGAACAAACAGAAAGACACGGACATACATAAGTATTACATCAAACATCCTGTTTAAAACTTTGTCCGTGATAGTTCGTCGGAAGTTCTGCCGGAACCAACCGAGAAGTTCAGGAGCTTGCCAAAGAAGCTCGTCGAAACTCGCTAAGAAGATCGTCGTAAAGTCCGGGAGCTTGCCGGGAGTCCGTCGGATCATTGCCGAGAGTTCGTTGGAAGGTCGTCGGAAGATCACCGGAAGCTCACCAAAAGAGCAATTGACGTACCGAAACAAGAGTGCTTTGATTATGCCTTAGTTATTGTAGTTAGATAGTAGATTGAGTTAGAATTGAGAGGTAATCCCACTAACTTAATTAGAGGCCAATTGGGCCCTTAACAGGGTTGAATTGAGCCGGATTGAACAGCCCATTCAGCCCTTGAAAATTTGGCCAGCGGTGGCACCGCTAGGGCTGACGGTGGTACCGCCCCTGTCAGGCGATGGTACCACCAGAGCTCGGTCTCCAAGCTTTGTCAAGCGGTGGTACCACCTAGTGTCAGACTACAAGCGGTAGTACCACCCAGTAATAGCGGTGGTACTGTTAGTACCCCAAAAATTCGGGATGAGATACTTTTTGGCTCCATTTTTGAAGTCATTGGGGCCTATAAATACCCCACCATTTTTTCTGCATGAAAGGGTAATAAAGTACTATTATATGTGTAAAAAATTCTAAGTGTTTGGGGTGTGAAAACTATTGTAAAAGAGAAGAGTTCTCCTCCTCCCTCTCTTAGCCTTGTAACCATAAAAAAAAAAGCAGTGAGACTTGTAAGGGTTGTCTCCTAAACCCAGCAAAAGGAGAAAGAGCTGTAAAAGGTAGTTGGTCTTCGCTTATTGAGGGAAGGCCTTTAGTGGATGCCGGTGACCTCGACAGAGGAGGAATCCAAAATGGATATAAATCTCATTGACCGAACCACTCTAAATTCTGATTTGTTTTTCATTTTGTATAATTTACTTTACTGTAAATCTCCTTGAGCTTCTCGTTACATTCTTACGAAGGTTTTAATTTCAATATTTTCTGAAACTATTTGAATCGAGACGAATTTTATACGAAATTAAAGAATTTTCTGCTGTACTAATTCACCCGCCTTTACATCCTAACATAAATGATTGAAAATGTAGTTGCTTTTCCAAGGAAGACAATTTTGAATTTTTTCAACAATAAAATATTATGATATATCGTGACCGTTACCACTTGTGAATATAACTGCTTGGAGGGAACATATTAATTAATATTTTATTTTTGAACGATATATATATATATATATATATATATATATATAACATTAAAATTATAATGACAGATGCGTTATTCCAAAGATGGATTTGTAAAAACACTTTAGTGAACTCCATTAATCCTACCTCGAGAACAATTTAAATGGCCAAGATCCCACCATTGCCTGGGGTCCCTCAACGTCGGACCGCTGGCCTTGTTGGGGGTGCCGTTTAACTTAACCATCCCTCGAAGTCCCAACTTAAGCGCCCCAATCGACGGCGAAAGCGAGAAGGCGTTCACCTCTCTGATTCCTCGATTAGATCCCATCTCGGATCCCGCCGTAAATCTCCTCTCCTGCAGATCCCGCGTGGTCCTCCGATCTTTTGCTGCATCGAGCCCGTCTCCACGATCGGTTATCGCTTCCGGCAGGATGAATAACCTCCTCTCGGTATTTTTCATCTGTTTTTCTGGGCATATATTTTGTGCTTTTTGGGTCTTACAAACCCGGGATTGGTTGATATTAGAGGAAAGTTTGGCTTTTTTATGCTGTTGCGTTTGGTTACGGAGCAGGATTTAGTGTAGGTATGGGGTTAGGTTTGTACTATGAAGAATATAAGGGAGTTGTGGAGCCGAGTTCTTATTGGATGAGTTCGAGTTACTTCGTTGGACGTGATTCTTTAGAGAGGAAATAAAGATCGCTGCTGAATACGTCGTGGATGTTCTGAGGTGCAGCAAGAACATGTTAGAAATTTAAGAGTGAAGTTTCTTGATGGAAAGAGAAATTTTAATTGATTTTGTTATCTATATGTGTGCCTATATTCTATGTGTATGATAATTTATATCAATGTGACAACTGTTATAGCTACAATAAATCAAGAAAAGGTAAAAGAAGGGAAAAGATCTTATTTTGAGCAAAAATACATTGTTATAAATACATGTGCAACTGTTATAGCTAGTGTATCTTTTATTTTGCTTGTTGCTTGGACCCATAAATCATTTTCTACTTAACTAAGACACTAAGATATCATTAGAATATACTTGTTTCTCACTTCATTTGTGATATCGGTATCCATGTTACTGAAATTGATAGAAAATGTCAGTAGTTGCACGCTTTGGGGAGTAGTTGGCTTATATCCAATGATATCATTTCCTGATTTTTTTCAAAATTTTAGGAAATCTCTAATCATCTTCAGTATAAGCCTTCACCAGTGATATATGTTAAGTCTATTACGGCCAGCATTGAGCAGTGCTAAAGTGTTGTTTGGGACTTAAATGAAAACAAATTCTTATTTTGCAATAAGGTGATACTTTTGCTTGATTGTTATACTTTATCTTTTTTGTCTTTGAGATGGACAGAAATATGTTGTGTTATAACACAAGACTTGTTTAGACCATTGTTAACATAGATTCAAATACCTGTTTGTTAAGTTTCTAACTTCCAGAGCAAGCAAAGTTAGATATCCATTTGTTTCTGTACAAAATGGATTACAATTTAGGTTGGGATATCATAATATTTGATTGAGCAATGATGTTTTAGAGTATTCTATTGTATATTTATATTATTAACATTTACTGAGGGAATACTGCAATGTGTTACAGCTCTCAATTTAAATCATTATCTTGTTCTTTTTAAAAGAGCATGAAAACTATGTAAATTAACTAGGTTTGAGGAGTTCCAGTGCAACTAAAAATGTAAAACACAATGAAGTTGGACTTTGCTAGTCATTGGTTGTGATTACATGTATGAAATATTCTGTTTTGGCTTCTTGGTTTGTCACGAATTAGGTCACTGGATTGGAAAATATTTCAACTAAAATAAAAAAGAAGAAGTTTCTAGGACCTAAATGTATTAAATATCTTTTTTTTATTTTACTTTTATGAGGATTAGATCAGTGATTTAAAAAACGCTAGGCGCCAAGGTCCCAAAACGCCCGAGGCGCTAGGCGCTCACCCGAGTGAAGCAAGGCTCTCTAAAATATTAAAATATAAATATATATTTTAATTTTTTAAAATATTAAAATATTAAAAATATAAAAGATATATTTTAATATTTTAAAATATTCTCTACCGTTAACAGTAGAGTGTGAGAAGGAGACCAAGGTGAGAAGCTAAGTCATAGTGAGAATCGAGTCGCTGCTAGGAGGCTGCTGTTTGAACCGGGCGCAAATGAGAACCAACTAACGCAAATGCGACCGAACTAGACCTAAAAAGTTGGTTCGGTCGCTTGGTTTAAACCGGGCGCTTGCTCGAAGCGCCTGGCCCCTGGGTTTGGATGAGCGCCCAGGCGACGCCTCTTTGAAGCGGAACACCTGGACATTAAATGAGGCGCTCGGGCCTCACCTCGCCTTGCCCGAGCGCTTAGGCGAGCGCCTTTTGAAATCATTGGACTAGATTAGGCTTTTGTTACTTAGGTCTAACTAAACCAACCATGCTGTAGATTGAACAATGGTTCTAGTTTGTTTCTTAATTATGGATACCTCCTTTGAAGCATAAGCCATTTGTATTACACTTCTCTTTACATCAAGCTATAGCTAATAATTAAATGTCATTGTAGGGAATGACAGATAATTTTTTTTTTAATGTGGATACCATAAATTAATTCTTCTTCCAAATATGTTGATTTGGTCTACAATTATGTGGATCATGAACAAATGGGTATTTAGTTTGTTTCTGTCAAGGATCTAAATATCTTTTAATGAAAAGTGAATGCACCTAGTCCTCATCATATGGATAGACAATTCTGGTTGTTGTGGAATTAATAAATGTTTGTAAATATTTATGTTCATCAAGTTTGATGACAGCATACTACCATTTTGGCTGGTCAAGTTGTAATTTTGATAACTAAGTTAATGAACATCTATAGCTGTGCTTACTCTTATGCAGTTCTCATTTTAATGGTTGCATTGGAAGTTAGTTTTTCCTGTGGATTTGATGTTTTCTTTCTGCAATCTTTTGTGCTCTTTCTTTTCCTAAGTGATGAATATGAATATGAATATGAATCTCATTCTCTTTGGTAGGATTCCTTTGACCTACCTCGAGATGAGCCTCCAAGAGATGGAGACATTGAATCAGGACTGCAGCATCCAAAGAGTGCTGCAGAACAAGGATTGGAAGGTTTTTTTAAGCAGGTACCGATTGTTATGACCATTAAGTTTATGATGTTTGGAATCATGGTTGGACTATTCTTCAACATGATGTTACATTTTGTGCTAGGTTGAAGAAATTGAGAAACTAATTGAGAAGCTTGCAAAGCTATCCAAGAATCTTCAGGTACGCGTTTCATCACATTTGACCTTCCTCTTGACTATATGTCCATCTTGCTCAAGTTGCCTCAGCCTACAGTGTCCTTAAAGCTCTAACTGGCTATGGTAATCTTCATCAAGAATCTTCCCCTGAAAACTCAAATTAGTCTGTAATATTAGTACGGTTCACAACTGTAGCAAAGATCAAATACTTAATTCTATTCAATAGAACATGTTGCAAAAGTTTCATGATGCATGATAGTACAGTAAATCATAGGTTCCTAGTCTGAACCCTATTATGTCAGAAATTTCATTCTTAATTCTGTATAAATTTTCCAGGAACAAAAGTTGCAACCTTATTTGCTTAATTAGAAATTTGTGTAGATAAAACCTGAGCTATTTTTTACTCTTTTTCAGAAGTTTTATAAATTTATGGATTTAATTCCTAGTGAAATATCTGCTTAAGTCAATCATTACTTTGTATCTCATGTCATTTGCTTGCTATCGGCACTTATAGGCTGCAAATGAGAAATCAAAAGCTGTTACAAAGGCATCTGATATGAAAGGTAATTAATTTTCATCAATTAACAGTTAGAACACTATGGAATATGCATCATACTTGATCTTCATAACAATCGTTGCAATTGGGCATATTTTTGGCTGTAGCAATCAAGCAGCACATGCAGAAAGATATTGATGAAGTGGGAAAAATTGCACGGTTAGCGAAGTCAAAACTCGAAGAACTGGACCGAGATGTACTTCTACTTTGTATTTATGATGCTCAATTCAACTTTTGATAAATCAGTTAGTTTCAGACATAGTGTTTTTTTTCTTCTTATTTTTGAGAAGTTTGCATTGAAGAGTAATGCTGATGTTGAGCATCTAATTTTCTTGCTCAGTTATAGTTGTTCCTAATTGTTCTAGAATTCTGGAAAACTTCTCAAGCACCTCTTTCTATTTTGAAGTGATTTTCTTTTCTTTTTTGTTGGTTTTGTTACTGTTTTATTATTTACTTTCATATTTGTATCCTGCTTATAATTATTAAGAAAAATTATGGTTCTTTGCTAGTCCAAGTATGTTATTCTTTACAACTTCTTATATGGTCCAACTTCTAATGATTTGACTTATAAGTTTTATACTGGTGAAAATATGGATATTTAATGATTTGACTTCTTTTCCAAGAGGAAAATCCTTTTCCTATAAGATGCTGTGTCAAAGTTAACTTGCTTATAGAAAAGCTTTAAGTTGATTTAGATTTCTTGCAGCATAGTGGTAGAAGCAGTTTCAATTCCATTTTTGTTTCTGGAAGTATATTACTAATAATATTGCATAACATTTTGGGATATTTTGACTTTTCCTTTCTCATCCAAAGGACTGACTGTAGCTTGTTATATGTTAAATAGAACTTGGCGAGTAGACAGAAACCAGGATGTGGGAAGGGATCAGGTGTTGATCGTTCCAGAACTGCAACCACTATGTAAATACATCCTGATTTTGTTTGTTTTGTTTTGAGGATGTGTTATTAGATTGTTACTAATGTGCTTAGCACCATGTGACTCAGAGCACTGAAAAAGAAGTTGAAAGAGCGCATGTCTGAATTTCAGGTAAGTTCTTATTTCCACATTTTCCAAATGATATTCTGCTTGTTAGATTCATTTTTGGTCTGCTTCTATAAAAGTTTATTAACAAGACAAAAATGAAAATAATAAAAGAAATATGCTTAGTTCAAAGGTAACTGAAAGACAAAGGTTAATGATTTAGATAGGAAAAGGGATGTTGTATCTTTTTCATTTTTTAAAGGCTCATTTCTGACTGTTTTAATTTTTTATGTTGCAAAAATTGCAAAAACCTCTACCGGGATCTACTTCTGATTTTTCTAATATGAAACTTGAGATTTTCGTGGAACTATTTGGATATTAAGCAGAAACCAAAAACAAAGAGAACAATGTGATTGAAATTCATTTATTTAGTTGATTTTGCCAGTTTTTGTTTGAACTTGTTACCTAAATTATTCCTGGAATTTGAATTATATATAAGCCTATGTAATGAAAACATTTTATGTTCGTTGAAAATTGAAATGCACCCTAGTGATTTTATTTTGGTTCCCTAAAAGCAACAATTAATTGTCGAGGACATACCACCACATGCAAATTCGTTATGATATAAAATTTCATGCTAAACCTATATGGGCAGATGCTAAATCAAGGATTGTCGAGCCATGTGCTGAGTACATGTAAATCTTGAGCCTCATCGTGATATGAGTCTTGTACTGTGACATGCCATACTGCAGTAAGCTGTCTGATGAGGCATGTTTCAGGCTTTGTGCCTGGAGACGGTACCTGGTTCCTGTGTATCCTACTGGCATCCTACCAGCATGGGATGTGCTGGGTGTCATTTTTAGTACAGATCAACATGCTACGCTTATACATGAGGTCTTTGAAACTTTGCAATGTGCCAGTGATGCTACTCCATATCCTGACTAGTGTCTGCTTGGGACAAACCATTATTTTCGGAACTTGCAGGCATCGCATAGAGAATCATAGTGCACCTTTTTCCATATTTGAAGTTGTCATTAAACTAAAAGAATACTGGAAATTTTCCTCCATTATAGCTTCGGTGCATAATCATCAAAAGTAATGGATGGGCTGTACGTTTTGGTTGCTCCACTGAAGCGAATCATCATCCCGATTTAGTAGCAAGACATATTCTCTAAAACTGCATAAATATCTTTTAATGTGTCCTTTTTTCATCATCTACGTCTTTGCCAAATTCTTGAATCCTATCTGTTCTTCTCCTGCAGACTCTGAGGGAAACAATCAAGCAGGAATACCGGGAGGTTGTAGAAAGAAGAGTATTTACAGGTTAGCCATAATTATCTTTTCATGAAGTGTTTGGAATTGGATTTTTTTGTACCTTTCATGATGCAGTAATTATATAAGTATCCTTATTATTTTTGGATTTTAACAGTAACTGGTAATCGAGCTGATGAAGAGGTAAAGATCATTGCTTAAAAATTATCCCTCGGTTTTTGCTGCTAATTATTAAATAAATATTTTACTTTTTTGTTTTACAGACAATTGACCATTTGATAGAGACAGGAAATAGTGAGCAAATATTTCAGAAGGCAATCCAAGAGCAAGGACGAGGCCAGGTTTTTTCTTATTTCATTTCTTTATCTCTATGATCCTTAACCAGCAATAAGTAGGTTTTGATTTGTTTCTGATCTGCTTAATGAATGAGTGACTTCATTGTTTACGGTGTTTGTTAATCCATGTGTCAAATTTCTAGACTTTACAAATTTTTTTCACTCCCAAATGCAGGTGATGGACACACTTGCTGAAATCCATGAGCGCCATAACACTGTAAAGGATCTAGAGAGGAAGCTTCTTGAACTGCAACAGGTAGATCATACCATTTCAAACTTTTTAATTTGATCTAAGAAATTATGTTTATCTATAATTGCTTGTGGCTTGAACGGAGAGTTTTTATCTATTTTAAAAACTTGAGCAAGCAAAACAATGTTTTAGATATTGAATAGTATATCCCAGTGTCTCTCTTAGATGTCATTTTTATAGTCATTTAGATAATTTTGAAGTCTTCTCTTAGATGTCTCTCTTAGATGTCTCTCTTTGTTGTAATCATAGACTTCTGAAAGGTCCCTTTATTTTGTTATTTTACATCCTGCCAGAGCACTATATGGTGATTCTATATGATGCAGATAGAGCATGCCAAAGCCATAACAACACTGGTCACCAATTTGAGTTCTTAGCTATCTATTCCTCACAGGCTATATACCTGTTCGTTTATGTTTCTTACCTAGCTAACTGTCTTGCTAATTATGAAGGTATCTTTAAGTAGGAAATTATTTCATCTTAGTTGACTTAGTCAGACTCTTTATCTCTTTGAAACTCTGCTGGCACCTCTGTAACTCTCTATTATGTTTCCTAAAGTACCTAATTGACTGTCCTAGTTGTTCTAACCCAGTTGTCTTCCTATTTTTGAAGGCATCTTCAAATATGGATATATTTCATCTTAGCTGACTTTGTATGACTCTGTAACTATCTTTTCAACTCTTTAAACATCTTTAAATCTTCTTGTTCCAACTACATTTTTTACTCCAATCTTTGTGTTGTTGGCACATTATATGGCTTGTTCTTGTCATACTTTCACTGCAGCAGTCTGAATATCAGGTCTGCAATATCTGTTAAGTAAATTTTGGTTGATTTGTATCGTTTGACTTTATTTTGTACGAGACAGCTTCATGCAATATTGGAGTCTCATAAGACATACAAAGATATGTTTCGTTTGTGTACAGAAACAGTATGCCTGCATCATTGATGTGTGATTATGGCAATAGCAAAATACTTATCCATCTTGAGAATTTGGCCTTGATATTGGTACATTTTCTTTAAAAATGCAAAATGTAGAGATTTTGACAATAACATGGATTTATTTGCTTTTGTATCGTTTTGTAGATTTTTGTTGATATGGCAGTTCTGGTTGATGCTCAAGGGGAAATTCTGGATAATATTGAATCTCAGGTATATATTAGCAGTTCCTCTCATCCTTGAAACTAAATTGTCTTGACCAGAATGTCATGCCTCCATCATGTTTGCTCACTTTGCCTATGAAAAAAGTTTGTTTGAGAGGCTTTGAGTGGGTCCTCAGAGGTTCCTGCTCCCATTAAACTGTCATGTGGCAATTTCCTGCATAAGTCACCTAAAAAAGATAACAAAAAATCTAATAATTGATATTTTGAAATGTTTGTCCCAAAAATTTTGTATATAAACAATTGCCTGATGGGAGCAATAGGGGCTAAATCTTAAAAAGCAAATTGTATCCACTTGAGACCTTAGACATGTGAATGATTCTATGCTTATACTGGTCATGAAAGATTTTTATTTTTGAGTTGGGATTATGAAGTTTGAGTTAACTACTATATGTGTTGTTTTATATTTAAATTATAGCAAATGATGACTTGCAGTTGGTAATCATAAAATCATTATAGTTCATTAAATGCCATATGAAGAATAATAATCATTTTAGATATGTTTCCTTATAGGTTTCGAGCGCTGTGGATCATGTCCAATCTGGGACAGTTGCTCTCCAGAAGGCAAAGAAGCTGCAGAAGAACTCCCGCAAATGGATGTGCATAGCCATAATCATTCTTCTCCTAATTGTTGTTATCATTGTCGTTGCCGTAATTAAACCATGGAGCAAAGGTGGATAAAGATGAGGTTAGATGCTAATCAAAGGCAATGTGCAAATTCAATCTCCTATGTTCAATATATAAATACATTTTTTTTCTCCATAAACACTACATCCGTAACCAGTTGTCTTTCTGATTTCTGAAATTTTCTACTTGTTTAATTTGTAGAAAGCGTGACCATGTAATAAAATGAGGCTTGCAGTTTCAATATTCGTGTTTTAATTGAGCTGGAAATAGGTGCTCATCATTTATATCCTGTCTTAATTAATTGTATTCTTGTTGGTACATATATATATGATCAGGATTTGAATTGTAAAAATAGTTTATTTACTTTTATGAATAAAGCTGTATACATTCATCTTCTTTATCAATCTCAATAGCCCTTTTCCCTCTACCTGATTATACTGATTTTTTTTTTGGTCAAATTGAGCTTGTAATATAGGCATTACTGCTCAAGTTTCTTTTTTTTTTATGCCTAAAGTGAAAAAGGAGGAAGAATATAAATCAGTTAATTAAACTGGGAAAGATCTTAAAGTTAGTTGTTGACAGTAAGATTTTAAAATCAAATTTTATATGACTTCACCATAAAAACTTACCCAAGTTTTTTGTTGTGTAGTTTAACTTGGTGGATAAGGATCTTAAAGTGGCAGCTTTTTTAATGTTTTTTTGTCCTTTTGACTAAATGATCAAATCATGGATAATTAAAAAAATAGAATAATAAATCTGTTTTAAGAAATAAAGAATTATATAACACATTAAAATATTAAAAATTTATCAGATCTTATATATTTTCAGGAATTTTTTTTAAAAAAATGATAAGACAAGATTCAAGTTTTTGGACCTTTTGATATCTGTCAAGGTTTTTAGTCGCTAAGATAGTCATCGCCTTCAAACAATTGTATACGAATAAAAAAAAAATACATGTTTATATATTTATCTTCATACATCAAAACTTTTATAAAGTAAAATGCAATAAGGATAATATCTTAATAATTAAACACATTCTAGTTAATGTATCTTTGGAGAATTGATTCAAACGGATGTACTACTTCTCTTTATGCATTGAAGTCTATTCATACTCATATTTCGATTACAACATAATAACTGAAACACACTTGATCCTGAAGTTTTTTTTTTTTTGTCTCTTTATTGTTTTTTTTTTTATACACAATTGAATTTTTTATTGTAGATTACGATTATCTGATATGCAAGGATGCAGGGCCAACTCGAGTCAAATATTACACCTGTCGCAAAACTTGGAGTTGATGTTTGCGATGGTTCGACAATGCCTCATGCAAAGATTGCATTTAAGATCGGAATTAGTAAAAGTGACAGTCAATGAGTGAGTCCATAGTTACCGGCCGCATGGTTCACATAAATGAGGTGAGAAGCCAGACTTATGTATCCACGTGACCAGGCGATGTTGATGATGTAGGCAGGGACTTGTCGAACTCACATGATATCCGACGACACTAATAATATTAGAGGCACTCGACTGCTCTGTCCAGGCGATTGGACGAAACGAGCCGAGGCCCAAATGTCTCAAATAAGGTTCGAACGCATGTCTTCAATTGTGAGCCGCTCAAGTGCTCGTCAAGTTTGATGTCAAATCTGATTGAAATGGCCTAAGCTTGAGTTGACTATAAATCTTACAAAAGGTTCAACCAACGGATTCTTATTCTCTTCAATCCCTCGCTTCTGCTAGCCGACGCCGCCTCCTCTTCACCTGCGGCCACAGCTCCTCACCGTCGCCTCCATTTCTGCCCCTCCTCCCGACTCGCCGCCGCTCCTCCCCGCATCCGTGCGCAGCCCTCCAGCAGTGGCGGTACCTCCTCCTCCTCCTCTCTCTCCCCCTCCCGGCGTTGTGCCTCCCGCTTCTTTTTCCCGTTCGCTGTCGCTCATCCTCTTTCTCCCTGCTATCTCTCTCCCTCCTCCTCCTCCAGCGATGTCCCCGTCGAGCCTCCTCGATACCCCTTCCCTCCTCCTCGTCCTCCGTGCGTCTCCCCCCTTCCGACCCTCCTCCTTCCCTCCCGCTAACTCTGTCCCTCCTCCTCCGCAGCCGCCCCGTCGAGCCTCTTCTCCCCCAGCCTTTCTGACGGCATCCCTCCCTATCCCTGCAATTAGACTGCGGCTGACATCCTCACCCTCTCTCTCTGCATCTCCCCAGCAATGCCGCAGATCCTCCTTTTTCTCTAATTCTCTCAGCTTCTTTCTCTACCCAACAGCCCCGATCTCTCTTGAATTTAATAGTAACGTTAATTATTAACAGTAGTTAATTTTTGTTAATTATAGCCTATGAATTGATTAAAGGATTGAATTTGTAATTGCTATTATTTTGGAGTGGCACTGTTGAACATCTTTAATCATGACAAATGTAGTTTTAGGGTTATTATTCCTGTTGGTATATGATAAGACCCTAAAGTCTTATCGTCACTCTGATACCAATTGATAATACCCTAAAGTCTTATCGTCGCTCTGATACCAAATGATAAGACCCTAAAGTCTTATCGTGATAAGACCCTAAAGTCTTATCGTCGCTTTGATACCAATTGATAAGACCCTAAAGTCTTATCGTCGAAGAAAGGGGAGAAAAGAGAATGATAATAATCGCTTCGAGGGGATCGGCCTCCTTGATCGCTTCAAGGGGATCAGCCTCTTAGGGTTTGTCCACAGAGTGGAATAACATTTTATTGATTGATTAATTGATTCTCAAAAGAAAGGGTTACATCACTATTTATAGAGTTCCACCTAGAGTCCATCTCTTAATAATAAATAAATATTAAATAAATCTCTACCTGACTCTAATTGAACTGAACAGACTCAATAAACAACTGGACTAAACAGACTCAATAAACATTATTCAAAAGCTGAGAAAAATGGTCCTAAGAGTTCCTCCTTCTTCAAATCAGCCTTGTCCTCAAGGCTGAGCAGCATCAATCTCGGGGAGCTTCTCTTTCAGTACTTTAGTCATAGACTATCTGCAACGCATCACAACCCGTTGATCAAGTAAGTATGGTCTCCACTTTTTGATAGTGTAAGCAACAGGTCGGTCTTTCAGTGTAGTAATCATTGCAAGAAACTTCTAGCCCTATATAATCAATTTTATCTTTGAACCTTTGTTATCACAAGTGAAAATCCGTCCATCAACGATCTTTACTTCGAATCTGTCATAGTCTTCAATGTGGTGGGCCAATCGGTCAACAGTCTCACTGTCCATAAAATTGTTAGTGCTACCAGTATCAATCAAAACTATAATAGGCTGATGCTCCAGAGTTCCGCCAACTTCCATAGTTTGCGGGTTAAAGTAGTCGGCTAATATATGCATTGTATGTATGGTAGGTTCAACATTTTCATTAGAATTTATACCTTTATGATCAGAGTCCACATTCTTAACTTTCGGCTCCTCTCTAATTGGTTCAATCATCAGAAGTTGCCCTTGTTTACATCGGTGCTCCATACTCCATTTTTCATCATAGTACAAACCCCTTGCTGATCTTTCCTTGCTAATTTTTTTCTCATGTAGATATGCAAATGAGATCACAACTATCATAGTGCAGGGTTGACGAGCCTTAACTTCACACTGGATCTCTGGAATAAGCCCTTCAATAAATGTATCCAGAAGTTGTCGGTCCTACCAATCTCTAGCTTGATTTGATAATCTTTCAAACCTACTTTGATATTCTAACACCGTAGAAGTTTGACGAATTTTGGCGAGCTGACCATCAATATTCTCATATTCGGAAGGGCTAAATTGAACAAGAAGCCCTCTTTTGAACTTCTCCCACGAAGGAACTTCGTAAACAATTTCATACCAATCGTACCACTGGAGTGCATCTCTCTCGAGCTGGATTGAGGCCACTTCTACCTTAGATTCTTCTGGGGTTCTGTGAAAACGAAAGATTTTTTCCGCCTTAGAGATCCAACTAGTCGGATCCTCATATTCCCATCGTGGAAATTCTACCGTAATGCATGGGTAGTGTGTGTCACCATCCTGGGGCCCTTTTCCTGTACCTCCCAATCTGTTCAACATAGAACTTGAGTTCTCATCTTGTTTAAACCTGCTAAAGTACTCCAATAAGCTCCTTTTAAAATCATGAAGGGTTTCTTGTAGCCGATTCTCAATTCTTGTTTCCAACGCTTCCATTTGTGCTTTCACTGAGTTATCGGCAACCATTGCGTACGATTGCAAGTCGGTAATCCCCAGTTCTTGTTTCTGATGTCTAGTCAAGGGCATCCGCACTGTAGCTACGAAGTTGTCGAGGAGGAAGAGGTGCTGTCCTATGTTTCAGTCGCTGCGTTATATGAGAGCGTCGGGGGCTGGAAGGCGACGACTGCAACTATTGTGACTCACGGGAGCACTCGCTAAATAGTCAGGTTGAGGCTGCGATGATGGCATCCGGCGGCTGCGGCAGCGGAGGCAAAGCAAGGGAGAGGTAGCGTTGAAGTGGCCAGGGTTGAGGTTGCAGTGGAGAATAGGAATCGACGGTGGCACTGCGGGAACAAGGGCAATCGATGATTTGCCCTGTTTCTGTCACCAGAGCAAGGGGGAGGCTGCGAGGATCATGGCTGGGCGGTGAGTAGCGTCGTCACTGGCTGGGCAGTAGCAGCGACGGTGACGGCAATCGGCGTTCGCAGCAGCAATTGTGGTGCGACTGGAAACAAGGGCAGCAAGGTGAGTTGCTTGTGCTTGCTTTGTTTCGGTTACAAAAGATGCAGAGCAAGGGGGAGCGACGGTTGGGAGGCGAGCGACGGTCGTCGCACGGTGGCTGGCAGCGGTGGTGGATCGGCTGGGCGGCGACGACGCTTGAGGGGAAGAGGAGTGCTGGATGAGGCGTGGCTACGATCAACGAGGGGCTGCGGCAACAAAGGAAGCTTTGTTTTTGCAACCGCTGCAAGGAAGGGCTGCGACAACCGGCGGCTGCGGCTGCGACCCGGGGGGGCAGCACGATGGCAGACTAGGGCAGCGTCGCCGACGGTAGAAGCGTCGATGGGGTGGTTTGTTGGCTGGGATCGACGAGGGGCTGCGGCAATAGAGGAAGCTCTGTTTCTGCAACCTCTGCAAGGAGGGGCTGCGGCAACCGGCGGCTGCGATCCAGGGGGGGGGGGCACGGCTAGGGTTGCGGTTGGGAAGCGGGCAGCGGTGATCGAGCGGTCGGGAAGCAGCGGCGGCGGTGGAGAAAGAGGCAGCGAGGGTTGTTGCTGGCCGGGAAGTTGCGATGCTGGAGAGGGGAAACAGTGTGCTCTATTTCTATCGCACCACAGCCGGAGCCTTTGGCGATGCTGGCAACGACGGTGCGGCGGTGAAGGAGGCAACGGTGGTGGCGCTGTTGGGAGCAGTGTCACCAACGATCGCCGAGGAGGGGAGGTCGAGCGGCTGCGGCTGCGACCCAAGGGGAGCGGGCAGTGGTGGAGAAGGAGGCAGCGGTGGTGGTTGCCTCGCCGAGGGCTAGGATCGATGAGGAGAAGATTGCGGCGACTGGCAGCGGCGGCGATGGAGAAGGCAGTGGTGATCGGTGGCCGGAAGCAGAGTTTCCTTCTCGGTTGAGAAGGCAGTGGTGGTCGGTGGCCGTCGGCTTCACCCTTTCGCACACGATCTCTGTCCTTTTTTTTTTTCCCTGCGATCTTTTTTTTTTTTTTTTTTAAGATGATGATAACTGTAGCGAGAACAGTGAAAATGCTAGCCTAAAGTGGCATTTTCACTCTGTGACGGGCTCAATAATAGGAGGGCCGATCCCCTCCTATTGAAATGGAAGAAATGATAGAAAAGGGGATGAAATTGAGGGAATGATAATGATCGCTTCGAGGGGATCGGCTCCTTGATCGTTTCGAGGGGATCGGCCCAAACAAGCGACGGCGGTGGAGAAAGAGTTGCCTTGTAGTGGTGGTGGGGAAGAAGGGAAGCAGGGTTGCGGTGGGCTGCACCAAGGATCGTTGCTCTGATACCAAATGATAAGACCCTAAAGTCTTATCGTAAAAGAAATGGAAGAAATGATAGAAAAGAGGATGAAATGGAGGGAATGATAATGATCGCTTCGAGGGGATATGCCTCCTTGATCGCTTCGAGGGGATCGACCCTCCTTGATCACTTCGAGGGGATCAGCCTCCTAGGGTTTGTCCACAGAGTGGAATAACATTTCATTGATTGATTGATTTAAAGAAAGGGTTACATCACTATTTATAGAGTTCCACCTAGAGTCTACCAAGACTTGGACTCTTAATAATAAATAAATATTAAATAAACTTCTACCCGATTCTAATTGAACTAAACAGACTCAATAAACAACTGGACTAAACAGACTCAATAAACATTATTCAAAAGCTCAGAAAAAGGGTCATAAGAGTTCCTCCCTCTTTAAATCAGCCTTGTCCTTAAGGCTTAGCAGTATCAATCTCGGGGAGCTTCTCTTTCAGCACTTCGGTTATAGGCTATCTGCAACGCATCACAACCCGTTGATCAAGTAAGTATGGTCTCCACTTTTTGACAGTATAAGCAATAGGTCGGTCTTTCAATGTAGTAATCATTGCTAGAAACTCCTGGCCTTTGCTATCACAAGTTAAAATCTGTCCATCAATGATCTTTACTTCGAATATGTCACAGCCTTCAATGTGGTGGGCTAGTTGGGTTGCAACTTTCCTGTCCATAAAATTATTAGTACTACCTATATTAATCAAAATAGTGACAGGCTGATGCTTCAAAGTTCCTCCAATTTTCATAGTTTGTGAGTTGGTGTAGCCAGTCAATGCATGCACTGTATGTGTGATGACTTCAATATCTTCATCAGTTTTCACACCTTTATGATCGGAGTCCAACTCGTTTGCTTCCGG